CTGCGCCGCGGGCCTGGCCCTGGAGCGGGACCAGCCGTTCCGGTAGGTGCCGGCGTCCGCGGGACGGGATGGGGCGCTGGTGCCCGCCTGCCGCTCACAGCCTGCCCGCAGCGTGCCCCCCGGCTGGACCCATGCCGGCCGCGTGAACCCCAGCCACGAAGTGCAGCTGACCTTCGCCCTCCGGCAGCGAGGCACGGGGCGCCTTGCCCGGCTCGTCGATGCCGTCTCAGACCCCCGCTCGCCACGATACGGTAACGGCTGTGCGCCTGAGCCCTGGCAGGCCCCATCAGGCCCTGCGGGCAGGGTGCTCTGACTCTCTCTGTGCCTCACAGGCCAGTACCTGTCCCTGGAGCAGGTGCGGGACTTCGTCCAGCCGTCCCCAGCCACACTTATGGCAGTGCTGAAGTGGCTGCAAGGCTATGGTGTTGAGGACTGCAGGAGTGTTACCACCCTGGATTTCCTGGAGTGCTGCATGCCGGTGAGGTGAGCCCTGGGAGGGGCTGGGCCCCACTGTGGTGGCCGTGCCATTCCCACAAAGACAGGAGAAGCCAGGCCCTGCCCCTGCCTGCTGCGACTTCCCCTTCCCCCGGGCTCTGCAGCGCAGGCCAGGTGACAGAGCGCTGAGCCGCGCTTCTGCCTGGGCTGTGAGGGCTCCGCAGCCAAGAGCCCGGTCCTGGTGCTGGGGGGAGTCACAGCTAGGGATCTGGAGTACTGGAAACAAGGCACGCATGTGCGTTAGGTGCTTGGGCCAGCCCCACACCTCCTCTTGCCTTCTGTGGGGCTGCAGAGTCGCCACTGGAGGACTGGGGATAGACTTGCAGGGGACACTGCAGCGCCAGGGCTGGGTGATGGAATTGGCCAGGTATGGAAGGTGCTCTTTGCTTCATGAGGTCAGCTGTGCTGGTGGGAAGCAGAGCTCACCCCTCACTCGTCCCAGCAGCAAGTGGGGTGGAAAGGGTGCGGGAGGCAGGGCAGAGAACGGGCATGCTGCTGGACAGGCGCACTGAGCATGAATCCTCGCGTGGTGGCTGTCCCTGTGTTGCAGCACGGCTGAGCACCTCCTGCCAGGGGCTGAATTCCACCGCTACGTGAAGGGCCAGCGCAGCGTTGTGCGCTCCCCGCTCCCCTACACTGTCCCCGAGGAGCTGGCTGAGCACGTTGACTTTGGTACGTCCTACACAGGGGAGCTGAGGCTGCCCAGAGCTCTCACTGCCTGGGGCGTGGGTGGGAGGTTAAGCATTGAGCAGCCAGGACTGGCCGTCTCGGTGTCCCAGAGGACAGTGTGGCAGGCCCTCCAGCCATGGTCCCGGCTGCCCCTAGGTCCCCCTGAGGAGATTTGTGCATAGGATGTAGATGCCCCATCCCTGGAAGCATTCAGGGTCAGGTTGGACAGGGCTGTGAGCAACCTGATCTGGTTGAAGATGTCCCTGCCCATTGAAGCGGGGTTGGACTGGATGGCCTTTAAAGGTCCCTTCCAACCCAAACCATTCTATGATTCCGTGATCTGGACAGGCAGCGTCCAAAGTAAGTGTTTCTTACTGGTGCTCTCGGGCCTGGGTGCTCAGTGGGGAGAGGTCAGGTGCAGGCTGTCTCTGTGGACATGCAGCTGCTTCTGAGGTGGAAAAACTCCCTCCTGTGAGTCCCTTTTGTATGGGCTCCCACGGCCGCTCCACGAGGACAGCAGAGGGGTGCCAAGCTGCAGTAGTGGCCTGGCAGTGGGGAGCCTGAGCTGTGCAGCCTGTGAGGACTGAAGTCGAGGGCGTACTTCCCCACCTCCAGCGCAGCGCTCGGGGCAGGTGCAGCAGGGGATGGGCTCCCCCGAGCCCTGCTGCAGCCCAGCCCTCTCGGACGTGAAGCCTGAGTGAGGATGGTGAAGGGGGAGACGAGGGGCTATAATACTGTCCTCCCGGAGCTCTGGGCCCTAACAGCTGCTTCTTTTCCCGCTTGCTTGCACACCAGTGGGTGGTCTGCACCGGTTCCCCACAGAGAGGAAGGTGGTCAGCAGAGCCTTGGCCAAGAAGGAAACGGAGTCAAGGGAGCACTATGGAGGGAGAGCGGCTTTCCACCTGGGCGTGACGCCGTCCATCATTCGTAAGAGATACAACATGACAGGAGGAGACGTCGGGCTGCTGCCAAACAACAGCCAGGCCTGTGCCCAGGTAACTGCTGGAGCCAGTCCAGGTCAGAGGCCCGCGGGCCGTGGGAATTCCACATGTTGGTGCTTCTCCAACACGTTGCTGCTCTGGTGGTCCCAGGCCAGCTGTGGGGATTCCTCAAGCGGCTGGTGGGAGCAGCCAGTGGGCTAGCATTTCACAGCCCTGTGCTGGGTGAACTTTCTAAGTCAGGAGAAAAAACTTACCTTGTTTTTTCAAGAGAAAATGAGAAAAAACTTGTCCACTCCTTGTCCCCCCAGTTCTTGGAACAGTATTTCCACCAGGCTGACCTGGCTGAGTTTATGCAGCTGTTCGGCAGCAGCTTTGGCCACCGCTCTCAGGTTGACCAAGTGGTTGGGCACCAGAGCAAGGGCAAGGCTGGGCTGGAGGCCAGTCTGGACGTGGAATACATCATGAGCACGGGTGCCAACATCTCCACGTGGGTCTTCAGCAATGCAGGTACTGATCCCTCTCCAGAATTGCCTTGTGACCGCTTCCGTGCATCCCACTTGCTGTAGTGCCAACACACCTGCCTGCTGTTAAGGGAAATGCTTGCTCTCTGCCTAAAAATGGCTGTGCTGAGTCTCTCTGGTATCTGTCAAAGGGGAATGCCTGGAGGGACATGCACGAGCAGCACGCTGGCTGTGCTGCACCCCCAGAATGCTTTCCCAGCTACCTTGGGCATGTACCTGGTGGGCCTCCAAAGTTGGAGCTGATGCTGGTTTCTAATAGCTCGTAGGGAAATCATCTTCCATTGATTTGGGTAGTTGCTTTTGAACCCGTGTGAACTTTCAGCATCCGAAGTATCCTGTAACAGGGACTCCCACGCCCCGACTACACAATGTGAAGCAGTCACTCCACTCTGGTGCCTTCCCATAGGGGGAGAGCGCAGCGACTGTGTCTTTTTACTTTTTTCCTGCTGCTTTGGGTTTGAAGCTGATCTCTCAGCTGAGTGAACCAGTAGAGTGAATAAAGGAGCGTAAGGCAATTTGAGAAAACAAGGTTGCAAAACAGCCTGCACAACTGGCTGCGGTGCTGTAGGACAAAGTGTGATCTGTCCCAGATCAGAAACTGGCTGAACAGGAGACGGAGCGCCCTTAGGACTGCCGGCTCTGATCGTGATGGTGAAGACAGGCACAGCTCTGCATTAACTTCCACCTCCTCCGTGCAGTTAGTGATGTGGAAAGGGCACGGGTACAGGCAGTGAGTGAGCAACAGAGAGTGAGAAGGGGCGGCTGGGGCTCTGCTTTCCCCACTTCATGGAGCGGGATGAGAGGCAGGAGGGGACCTTGGCAGATGGAGGTGGAATGTACGTCAAACTGCTCTGGGACCCGCTGGTACGGGTAGAGGGGCCAAGGCTTGGCTGAGTCTCAGCAGGGCTGCATGGCTGCCTGGATGCCAAGGGTGGTTACAGCCCTGCGACAGACACTTGGAGAAGGAGTGGGTGAGTGTAGACACCCCGCTCTGGGGTTCGGGGCGACCCTTTCACCAGAGCCGCTGGGAGAGCCTGGTGCCATCCACCCTGACAGCCCCTGAGATCAGCCGTGCTGCCAGCAAGAGCTCACAGGAGAGCTCCAAACCAGCTGTGCTGTGGATGCGCTCTCTGTAGGCAGGGCAGGAGCTGGAGGACCTTCAGCTCCTGGTGCCAGCGGTGCTGTTGAGGCATGGTGCCCCCCCTGTGCTATCCCCCACTTTCCTCAAGCCTGGTGTCCTAGGAGGAGCTGAACCTGTCCCCCGCTCTGTCTCTGCAGGGAGGCACGAGAGCCAGGAGCCCTTCCTGGCCTGGCTGCTGCTGCTCAGCAACATGTCATCGCTGCCTCGGGTGCACTCTGTGAGCTACGGGGATGATGAGGACAGCCTGTCGCTAGCCTACATGGAGCGTGTAAACGTGGAGTTCATGAAGGCAGCTGCCCGGGGCTTGACCATCCTGTTTGCCTCGGGTGCGTGCTGTTGCTGGCACGGTGTGGGTGCGTCCGAGGGTCCCAGCACAGTGGGGAGCCTCCACGGTGAACCCCGAACAGGGGGACGCTCTGCCTGTGGGCAGCCAGGATCCCCTGCCTGGGAATCCCAGCCTGGGAGGTGGAGGGAGCCCTCCCCCCAGGTCACTCCTGGGAACAGCTGGAGGACAAGGAGCAGCTCAAATGCTGCTGGATTACCCCGTCCGTCTCTGTCGGCAGGTGACGATGGCGCTGGGTGCAGAAGGGTGCCCGGCGGGAACCACACTTTCCGGCCCAGCTTTCCAGCCTCCAGGTAGGTGTGGGGAGGAGAACCCAGGTCCTGTGGAGACGCGAGGCTCTGCGCAGAGCTGGCTGCTGCAGCTCACCCATGGCCGGGGCCAGCTGAAAGCTGCTGCTGGCATTTCGAGCCCCGGCCGGTGGCCGGCTGCTGCCTCGAGCTGGTTTTGAGCCCCTTTGGGGGACTCCTGAGGGTCAGCCCCACCAGTGCGCCTGGGGACACTGGCAGACCTCAGAGCTGGGGGGACCGGTGCAGCTCCTTGGGAGGTGTGTGGGGTGCCGCCGAGGCCCCAGGCAGTCGCGTGCCCGCCCGCAGCACCCACCTGTCCCCCCAGTCCCTACGTCACCACCGTGGGCGGAACGTCCTTCAAGAACCCCTTCCTGGTGACTGCGGAGGTGACGGACTACATTAGCGGCGGGGGCTTCAGCAACGTCTTCCCCATGCCCGATTACCAGGTGAGGAGGCGCCCGCTCTGCCAGAGCCCGGCGCCGCGGCTGGGGCTGCGTGGCGCTTGGTGGGGTGGTGATGGGCGCTGGTGGGCACAAGCAGCCCCGGGGCTGGGCCGCAGGCCAGGGGCAGGGGGGGCGGAGGTGAGCAAGGGCAGGGGCCCCTGCCAGGCGTCCTGCTCCTCCTCTCCTGCTCTCCCCAGGCCGCTGCAGTCAGGCGTTTTTTGGGCTCGGCCTCGAAGCTGCCTCCCAGTTCCTACTACAACAGCAGCGGCCGTGCCTACCCCGACCTGTCCGCCCTTTCTGACAACTACTGGGTGGTGACAAACCGCATCCCGCTGCCCTGGGTGTCGGGGACATCGGTAAGGAGCGCAGCCCCGTGCCGCGCTGCGGCGGCGGAGCTGCCGGTGCTGAGGCGCTCGTGTTTCCTGGCGGCGGGGCTGCCGGTGCTGAGGCGCTCGTGTTTCCGGCAGGCGTCCACGCCCGTGGTGGGGGGCATGGTGGCCCTCATCAACGACCGGCGCCTGCAGCGGGGGCTCGCGCCCCTGGGCTTCCTCAACCCCGCGCTCTACCAGCTGCAGGAGCGGGGGCACGACGCTGCGCTCTACGACGTGAGCTGGGCCGGGGGCCGGGGATGGGGCTGGCACCCGGGGTGCTGGCGGGGAAGCCTGGGTCCCCTGCGCCCGAGGCCGCGCTCGGGGCAGGGCAGGGCTCGGCGCCCC